ATTAATTTGAGTTTTTAATTCGAGTTGAAATGTGACTCTATGTGAGAGTTTTTTACTGTAGTAAAAAAATTAAATGTGATTATTTTTGAAAACTTTTTATTATAATAAAACTTAAATTTTAAACTCAAATTGATGAAATGAACGGGACCTAAACTTTTATAGAGTCTCAACTCTCAATTGGGCAATTTTTTTGTTCAATGAATCTTTCATGCAGACGTGTTACTGTGCATGTAGGTCCGACCAGAACAATCTGAGGGAAAAGTCAACGTGGTTGTTAAAGTTCTTTTTTTTTTTCCTTCTTTTTTTTCCTCTATCATAATTTAGACATGAGAATGGAAGACACTTTCTAAAATCTCTCTAAAAATGATAATGTTATTTTAATAAAATCTACGTATTAAATAATGAGCATAAAAAGTGACAGAAAAAATAATATTAATATTTAATACTAACATTTCTCAACCTCTCAACATTAAATCTATAGACTTGATGATTTTGACTTTGTATTCATTAGAATTTGGAACTAAGAAAATTCTGAGAAAAAAAAGGTTTTTACGACAAGGTATCTATCGGTGAAAGTCACATAAAAGGTTAAAAATTAGCATATAAAACTAACAAAATTTGCTAGTGACATGACAATTAAAAACAAATTCCTTATCGGTAAGGTATATTTTTGATTGGGTAAGATATATTTTTCATACTCTAAAAAAAGATTTCTCTTTAAGGAAATTATATCAATACATGAAAATTTATATCATACTATGTCCCTACAATATTTATTAGGAGAAAAGATTGTACGCAGCGTCCATCTATTAGTTATAGGTTAAACACAATGTGTCCAACATCGTTAAGATTAGAAATAAAATGTCAAGTGGTGAAAGCTTTGACCATTTAAATTAAGATTCTACATTGTCAATTGAGTATAATAACAATCTAGAATTATTATTTGTAGCATCATGAGTTTTTATAAATATTTACACATTGTCAATTGAGTATAATAACAGTCTAGAATTATTATTTGTAGCATCATGAGTTTTTATAAATATTTACACATTGTCAATTGAGTATAATAACAGTCTAGAATTATTATTTGTAGCATCATGAGTTTTTTATAAATATCACAAAATTCTTACCGCATTATTCTATTGCATTTTAGAGCTTTTAATAAACTTGTTCCACAATTAACCCTTAAACGAAAGCAATATTCACTGATGATGATTACCACACCTTTTCAGTCAATCATAAATTTACATAACAAACTATGGTCTCATTGATTATCACATGGATCCGGCCACATCGTTTTGTATGTCAATTTTTAGTCATTAAAAATTAGGTTTCGTTGAGTTCGTTGATTTGAATTTTTAATTCGAGTTGAGATGTGACTTTATATGAGAGCTTTTAACTGTAGTAAAAAAGGTTAGATGTGACTTTTTATGAGAGCTTTAACTGTAACAAAACTCGAATTGAAAACTCGAATCGGTGAAATGAACGATAAGCCAATATAATAATCATCACTGGTGAAATCAAACATTTTTATTAAATGAAGGGAACTTACATGGAAAAAAAATGAAAACTACTAGTTTTTTATGTTCATTTTTTAATAAGGTGGGTCGACCCTAAACGCTACTCTTCTTATTTCCATCTCAAAAATCTTTCCTAAAAGAGTGCTCTCTAGAAGATCTCTCGCTCTTAAAAAGTTTTCTTTTATATTAATTAATCTTGTTAGGTTTTAGTTGGCTTGGTTTTTGGGCATATGTTTGTAAATTGAAAAACAGGTTCTAGAAGGTTCAGTGAAGATCCAGACTTCAGTCTAATTTGGAGGCAGCTATGAAGTCGACTATGTGCTGATTTTGTGTTAAGTGTGATCAGATGTTGTGTTGTGCAGATTTTGTGTTGGTCGGATATTGTGCAAAACACATGAAAAGTTGATCTGTTACGTTTGGAATGGCTTTGCTAAAAGGAGGTTCAGTTTCACTTTCTCCTATACTCGATGTCTCAAACAACTCGTACTGGATGAAGGCATTCATCAAAGCTCAAGATGAGAAGGCTTGGTGTGCTATTCTGAATGGCCGGAAACATTTTGTAAATAAGGATGCAGAAGGGAAGGAGTCTCTCAAACCCGAAGGCTCTTGGTCTACTGACGAAGATAAGTTGACCAACTACAATTTTTGTGCTCTCAACGCGATATTCAATGGAGTCTTCGTCAACCAATTCAAGTTGATATCTACATGTAAATCAGCAAAAGAAGCGTGGGAGATTTTGGAGCCCGCTCATGAGGGAACCGTAGCCGTCAAACAGTCCAAACTGAATATTCTCACAACCAGGTTTGAAAACCTTGTATGCTTGAAACTGAAACTATTTCAGAATTTAATTCACGGTTGTGTGGTATAGTTAATGGATCCTTTGCTCTTAGTGAAAAAATTACCGAGACAAAACTTGTCAGCAAGACGTTAGGATCCTTACCATGGCGATTCGCGTACAAAGTCACTACTATTGAAGAGACGAAAAATATTGAGACTGTGAGACTCGATGAACTAATGAGATATCCGAGGAGTTTATTTGGAGTCATATATATACATGTATATATATGGCTTGATTAACAAGTAAATCCAGAAAATCCGTAATTCTGGTTACCTAATTTATTCCCAATTCATCTAATGGATTTTCTGAGTTTCTTCTTCTCTGATAAGCTTTCCACAAAAGCAACCTTAATCCTTAAAGATCTAATTCATCCATTCACAAACATTGGGGAACGTCATTTATGAGAAAAGAAAAACTGGATGCAGAGGATGAAGATCAGATACATTTCTTCAAAAATTAATCAATCCGTGCATCAACAATTCACAATCCATGTTAAAAAAAAAACAAAAAACAAAAAACAATTTTTGGAATCAAAACTATTAAAAGAAACGTTTTTTTTTTTTTTTTTTACACATAGCAAAATTCAACTTATCAGGTTGAAGTATAACAAAAAATTCCAAATACTTTACAAATAGAAAAAATTAATATTAGTAAAATGAAACTATTTTATTTTGTAGTATAAACATGAATATCACTATGTAATTTTTGTTATTTCAAAAATATTTCGAAAAAGATGTTATATTTTTACTCTGCCCTCATCTATTAATTCAAATTTTACTTATAGGAAAAGGACAGTAATGTAGCTACTATCGGATTGGGCCCTTTTGTGAGAGAGCTAATGGGCTTCACTAGTCTGATTGGGTTCCTAAATACAGCCATGTAATTTTTGTGAAAATAGTAGAAAATAGGTCAATATGAAAAGTTTAAGAAAGTATATAGGCTAATTTTTAGTTAAAAAAATTAATAGGCTATAACTTATCAAGTTATAGTTTATAACTAGATAAATTATAAATAAATTTGTCAAGTTATAGTTCATAGCCAGACAAGTTATGGACAAAAACCGTGAATAACTTGTCAAGTTATGATTTATATCAGACAAGTTATGGATGAAAATAATAATTTGGCCTATTTATTAACTTATGTAAACTATTGGCCTATTAATTGTAATTCATCTCAAATCTTAACCTATTTTTCTCTTTCTCCCTAATTTTTATATGGGCTCTTTACAAAAATGCACATATCCATGGCTGGACTAACTTATGCCATGAGAGAAAATACACACACACACACACACACACACACATATATATATATATATATATATATATATATATGTGCCACCGTGATTCCAGTTGATGTCAATTTTAGTTATTTCTACTTTTTGTCACAATTATTAGGTTTCATAACTTCTTAAAGTAAGCTTTTAATTCTAATTTAGTTTGAAAATGATAATGTTGTAATGGTTAGATGAAAAGGTCAATACTTCGACCAATTACAATGAAATATCAAATTTTGGCACATGTTTTGACACTAAGTATAGCAAATGTCAAATTAATTAACACCAAGAATTGAATTGCATTGAAGACTGGTTTTCGTACTCAAAAACTAAAATTTTGCATTGTCACATTAATTTGGTGTTGCACCAAGATGCTCTAGTACGTTATTCACTCGAAATACTTTTATTTTACGTGTAAATTAGAATTAAAATATACATATTTTTAAATTTGGAGGTGGGAGATTTTAACTTTATATTTTTGTGTGGAGTAACTACGTCATAATAATATGGTTATTGACATAATCCCACACCTAATTCCACGAGAAGAGTTGAAACCCACCCTCAATTTCAGAAGAAAACTACGTAATAAATATTTCTTGAAAAAAATACAGAATTCTAACCTGTTTCTGTTTAGTGAAACATTTGTGTTTAATGATGTCCATCTTGAAAATAAGTTTTCAATAATAGAGTTGGGAAAGTTTTATGATATGGAAAAAAAAAAAAAAAAAAAAAAAAGTTCAATCTTATCATAGAGAGCCCGTGAATTTAAAAAGGTTTCTTACCTGTCTTATAGGGTTTTTGTGGTTCAACTATTGGCTACAGGATTATTCATTGTGAACCATGATAAAGGCATTTCCTTCCTTCTTTTTAATTATTATCATTGTTCTTTTTTCTTTGTTTGTGATTAATGCGTATCGTTTGATTCTAATTAATGTGTTAAGAGTCCAATTAATGGCTTTATCAGCTACATAAAT